CGGAAACCACCTCAAGGAAAAAGCGACCCAGACACCAACTAGTGCTGTGAAACTCGTGAAGTGCACACGACACGGGTTGCGCAAACTAGCCTTCTGCAGTTTGCCCAATCGGACAGTGTATCTTAGTGCGGAACAATTAGTACACATGTAGCCAGCTAGGAATCAGCCCACCGCATCCATCTGTGGATGACGGAATAAAAGACGCAACACGGTATACCGGATACCTGAGCTAACACCAACTAGCGACAAATGGATTAAGAGGCTACGCCTGAAATCCAAACAAGTAGGGGGTTTTTTAGTCGGTAGGCAGGGCCTACCTAAGCCTTACTGACGAGTCCAATAAGTAGGCCCGGGAGGAAACGCATGGTGCTTCAACGCGCGCCATATATGAATTATTAATGTAAACACAAAACCCCGCAGAATTCGGGGTTATGAGAACAGGTTGACATTTCGTCAACAAATCTTGTTGAATCTACCGTTTATCTTATTGTCAGTCTGTATAATTCCATGGTTACCGGAGTTTTAAATAATTACGAAGCAACAGGTATTTGCGCAATATTAATTAGGCAGATTACCTTGAAAAACATTGCTGCTTTATTTCTGATATAGTTTTTTGCAAATTTATCAGTTTTTAGTAACAATTAATTTATTTTACTATTTTTCTGTACTCCTATAACAGCGCCAGACAACACCTCCACAAGAATGAAGCCAATTTTGAATCACCCTGTATGACTGCATTTTCATTATGCGCTTTTTAAGAATGATTTGTGAGCTTTGCCCATTTACTGCAAGCAAGTAGGTTAATAATGGTTTGGGTCTTGACTTTTACTCTTTACCTTGTGGTTACTGTTCTGCTCTTTTTGATCAATGTCTGACAAACTAGGCGAGGAAGTCCGAGTTACCAATATCCGTTAGGAACTCTAGTAAGCGATTTGGTCCTAGCATCAGAAGCTTGTCCTCTGTCGGCTGTTCTCCGAAATCTGGTAGTCTTGTCCTGGCTGTTTCTGAAGACCTTTGCATTTTCCAGGCCTCGAATCGATCGTCGATCAAGGTATTAAGGTTGTTCGGAGTTGAACAATGAGAGCTCAATGTTCGCCTTCTTGCGGGAATTCTCTGCCTCCAATTTATATGGTAAGCTCCAGGGATCTTTGGTGAGCTCCGAATCTACAAATTCATCCCATGATTTGACTGATGTCGATGCTACATAGTCTGGGAATTTCCTAGCGTGAGTATGATACTCGGCAAAGAGGCGTTCCCCGTCATACACTCTTCTGATGGAACGTTGAAGATTTAGTAGGTATTTAGTATCTAGGGAAAAACTTGTTTAGACTTTTGACTTGTACTTTCATCGTCTTTAGAGCAGCACACTTTCTCAATTCCTCTATGCAATCGTCCGATGTCTCGATTATGACCTTGTTATCTTTTGTGGCATAAATTCGGTTTTAAACCCAACCTCTTTTGGCCTGATTGTGTTCATCGTTGTTTTCTTTAATTCCTCTCCAGTGGCGTTTCCGCCATCTGAGGAGATTTGAATCTTGTAAGATTTACCCGTTGCTATGGGTTTCTTTATTCCTGCTACTCTTACTGAGTTGTTCGTAGCTGCCGCCACTCCAGCATAGGTCGTGGTTGGAGCCTTATTGACTTTTGATGCTTTTTGAATTTTGAATCATCCTTGTGATGTCCTTCATTTGTGCATTATTTTGTTTCAACACATGTAATTGTGTGCCCTTTATACCTTTAGACAACTCCTTCATCCTCAGGAGTTGCTTGGTGATTGATTTTCTTATGTCTTTGCTGACCTTAGGCAATAGTTCCTCAACGCATTCAACCGCGTTTTCAAGTGAGTCCAACTTGTCCTCCAAAAGTCCAGCAATTGCCTCATCTCTTGGAAATTCATACCTTATCCTTTTGGATCCTCGTTCTTCCGACTCAAACTCCATGTCCATGAAGTGGGGGTCAAGTGACATATCGTTTTAAAGGGCGTTCAATTTTCTTTACATTAGTTACTACTTTGCAGCTTTTTTTTTCAAATTTACAGAAAGAATTAAACTTGGCTGCATTGCGATTTTAGTTTTCAGATTATTGTTTCAACAAAAATTGTCATTGGGGCTCCTTATAGAAGGAATAAATGGTTAGAAGATTCGGTTACACCGTTAAAATTGTTGGATAACAGTAAGAAAATCTAGTTTAACCAATTGATTTCGGATTTATTGATTATTTTACTTCGAGAAAAATCACTTTTTATTTACGGAAGAGAAATTTCTACATTAAATCTCATGGGATATACTTATGCACTATTTGTATAAGTTGTTCAAAATGTTGTCTCTTTTCCTGTCAACAATAGTATTTTCGAACCCTCTCTAACATTGATATATATTCCCGGATAGATCGATTGGCAGAAGGGGACCAATTGAATGGCCTCCAAGATTACTGGATTGAACACCCTTAGACTTCTTTCTTTGGGGACTATTTAGCCTATTGTTTATAAAACACAACCTGCTGATATTGATGATCTTAAAAGGCGAATTGCAGCAGAATGCCGGTCAATTCCCGGTAAAGTTTCCACAATGTTAAAGAAGAGTTCAAAAACAGACCTTATTATTGTTTACAAGAAGTTTTAATTTTTGCTTTAAGCTGGAGACGCGGTCCCAAATGGGTTCGGCAATGTCAAAGATAATTTTTACAAGTTTCTACATCTTTCCAAACTGGGGCTGTGTACTAGACGTACCTAATGAAACCGAACCAAAAATGTATACAGAATCAGCGTGTTTTTTTAATTCAATTAAAAGCAAGTAATGCTTGATGTCTAATATAACATCTTCTAAAAAATCTATTTGCAGTTGTTGTAATCCATGGGACCAATTTTTCATGTGGGTGCAAACTGAAGCAGAAGCATGTCCTTTTTTGGAAAATTTAGTCATCCAATAATTAAGAACAGTTTCAAGCGAAGCATGTAGGTAGGGTCTCACGAAAGGTGACTGGTACTCTGTTTTAAAATATATGTGATTGGTCGGCTACATTTAAAAAGCTGCAATTCATACGGTTTGCGAGTGGGATTTAAAAGAAAAGAGGTTTAGTTATAGAGCTAGTACGTTCTATAATTTTTCATTACTAATTATAATGTGACACTAAGGCAATGCGAGATTGCACAACCCCCCACAGATGAAGCACCAAACACGTTTCTACCCTTTTGCAAACCTACAAAACTTTACAAACGCGGGAGGTTTGAAAGGAGCGAGAAATGTTTGTTTTTCAATAAATGACGATCCAACTGATCAATAAACTACCATAAAATATTGCATAAAGTACATCTTCAAACCTCACATATATTCGAAAAGGAAGCTAACTGTTTCTTTAAAACCCTTTTCCGTACTCTCTACTCTCCAAGTAAGCCCTTGGAGAATGGTCGATCCGAATATTTGCCTTATTGCTCCTACGAGAGTTTTCAAAATAACGTGTCTATATTTCTTAAGCGTATGAAACCTAACCATCCATACAAAATTGTATCGTGTGTGTTTGTCCCTACAAATATGAAGGAACCGACGAAGAATCCCAATTACTTGTTGAGGGAGTGCAAGTTAACGATAAATTTCCTACACTTTTTTGATATCGTTAATTGTATAAAATTATTAATTGCTTAATACGTGCAAGTCGCAAGTATTTTGGAATATACAAGTTACTGCACACTTATATTATGTGTTATTATAAGAATAGTGTTTAAAAATTGAATACACAAATTTATATAGAAAATCCTGTTTTTGCAACTCAATTTTGTCATACTTAAAGCTTTTCAGCACATTTTATTTATTTCCATTCAATAGCAAGTTGAAATTTCATATAATAATTAATTACAATTAAAGCGTTGAAACATTCTTATGGGAAATCCCGATCCCTCTAGACCTGAAAACTCTATTGTTCTTTCACGTCTGTCCAATATCGTGGAAACAAGCCGGATTTGTTTTTAGTCCGCGAATGGCTTTCCTGCTGTTACCAAGGGTGAATAATGAACTTATACGACCACATTAAGGGTGAAACTTTCGTTACCACTTGTAGCAAGTAGTGACGCTTAAGCAAGCAATAGGAAAACACGCGCGCGTCTTCGTCATTTATATTCGCGTTTCAAGTGTCTCGTTCAATAAAATTGTTCTTGGACTTGAAGAAAATGCCGAAAAATTCGGGTCTTAAGCTTTTCACTAAAACATGGCCTTTAAAAAGGGAGAAGAAACATAGGGATGAAGAGCGTAAGAGGCCGTTGACCGCGACTTTGGAAAAGCCGACAATTTTGGATATCCGATATATAAGTGAGTAAAACCAGAAAGTTTAATTTTAACCGTAAAATCATTTGAAATGTTTGGATACCAAAAATAAATAATTATATATGTCAATTGTAGTTATATTAATCGAAGATTAACCATTAATTGCCCACAATCCGATTATCTAAAATAATGTATTAGGGTCTATTTCAAATTTCGTTGGCACAGTTGAATGAAGCAAAGTACATTGTTTTTAATACAAATTTAAAATTAATTTATAACAAACAATACAGCATCTAAACTTCGGCAAAACTCGAATCTACTTGTTAGAGAAAAGCAAATATCCAAAATGCCTGCAACTTTAACCGATTAATGTTTTCAAAATGAGACCTAAAGACTCGTTTTTGAGACAAAAATTGTGGCAACAGAAATATAAGTTGAAGTAGATAATAATATAGCAGTTCTAAATCTGAGTTTGATTTTATTTCATCGTTTCTCCTTGGTATTCTATAGATATCTTGTATACAAGATGATTCAAAATGAAGTAAAAAAAAATTATAAAAAATTATTTTCACAGAGAGCTGAGATATTGTCCAAAAAACTAAATAAAAAAATTTACAATTGAATGAATGAAAAAATTCTACAGCAGATATATTTGATTGAACCTGTAAATTACGTTTCTTTCATTAACATTAAGAAGTTGATAGAACTATAGAGATTTTTTCCGCCACCACAAATTTTTTAATACGCAGTTGATTCAAAATTTCGACTTATGTAAAAATATGTGCGAAATCTTTCAATGATTTTTCATGTCATTTCATGATGCGAGTCCTTGTTTCTATTAAACCCAACGCGGTCTCAAAAATTGCTTATGATTATTTTTTTCAACATTACTTGTGTACTCAGGATAACATTAAAAAAAGTGTTTAGTTTCTTGATTTAAACATGCGATCTATAAGCTAGTCACTACTTTTAATAAGTTGAACACATTAATTTTTAACTCCGCAGAACAAAATCAAGTCAATTTCCTGTGATATATCGGTGGATTTTTGAAAAAAAAAATGGTCACAACTACCACTCGAGATTTACATTTTTGACCGACATTTCGTAACAAAATAACACTTCTTAAACATATTCTTGAGAATTAAAAAAAAAATCATCTGCGAATACCTTACAATCAATCAGTTTTTTTTGTTTCAGGCAAAATTGACATGAGCATTGTTCGAAAGGAGTTCCTGAATATCACAAATTTATGCAGATTACCTTTAGCAATGAAGCAAAAAATAAATGCGGGCAGACCATTAAGGTACATACTTTCAAATATTGTAGCTTTATGAGTAAATCCTTGTTGTTGTAATGTAATGTAAGTGTGACTTAATATGAAAATATAAAAAGCATAATAAAATATAAAATGAGGAGAAGTCTTGATTGACTAGTTAGAAGAATAAGTTGTAGTTCTTAGAAGTGGATGACTGACGTTGGAAATGTGTAATCGAGTTTCTTGTTCTATGTTCCTTGAGAACTGGATGTTTTCTTTAAATTTAAACAGAATTCCAGCCCTGCTTAATGAACAAAAATAAATTCCAGAAACTTGGTAGCATCTAAGCTTAAAGAATTTTTTAAACAGTCCAGGCAGACGAGGAAATTAATAACGAAACAAAAAAAACTATTTACGGGAATTCACTAATGAGGAAAGCTCAGATTATTCACTTTTGAACGCCAGCAGAAGATTTAACCGACCACTCCAATAAATGCTTCCAATTCTAGAACAAAATGGCATCTGGGATATGCATGTATATCAGGAGGACAAGTATTTTAGTTACACTGAAAGAAGTAACTAGAGGTGAAAACTATTATAAATTTAAAAAAAGCTCCACATTATGATCTTATCACAGGAGACATTCCAAAGCAAATGCCAAAAAAAGACGGGGAAATGTTCTACATCTACCAGGGACAAAGTAATGCGAAATTTACCGAAAGCTGCATCGTGCCACCTGGAAAGACAGGAGAAAATGTGTTTAGTACAGCAGAAAATGTGTTCTATTCTAAATTAAACTCAGTTCAAACTAACGAATTCATAGATCATAAAAAATTCCTTGCCAGCTTTCCGCAAGCTGGCGCCCCATGCTCCATTTTCGGTGAATTAATCATCAAAAAAATGCACACGGCACTTAAACACACAATGAAAGTCTATTTCGAGTCGAAAACTTTAACCCTGCAGTATGCAGTCAGAATATACTACCGCACTTGTATTTATACCTTTTATCTAAAAACGCGATTCATTCGACGCAAAGAACACGCGACCTGTTGAAAAGAGATATTTTAAAAAAGACTCGGTGTATCTGAAAAATGGTATGTTAACGAAATATGTAATGGATTCAACACCATTTGAATAGCCCAAAGTAGAAGCAAACAGCTTAATTTCAAAAGCCCAAAGTTTCACTTAAAAATCCTGACAATTTTAAGGTATTTTCCGAGAAAAATTATGAAATAAACTTCGAATCCTTCGTCGTTTTGTAAAAAGTTTTGAAATCCCTTTCCAGCTTCGAATTTGGAACAAAAATCAAACAATTTTCTATCAAAAAACGAACAGAATAAGCGAAAGTTTATAACAGATTATTTGGAAATCTTGTCCCCTTCATTCCTATGAATACTGTAGAATTTGTTAAAACATGTGGTTTTTTAGTTTTGACCGATTTTTTTTGCTTTAATTTCTATTCAAAAATGTTCTATTTTGGAGAGTTTTACTTAAAAATACTGACGATCTGGAGGACTTTTACCCGAAAAATTGCAAGATAAATTTATAGCTTTGTAAACATTTTACAAAAACTTTTTTCATTGTCGAATTCGGGACAAAAAAAAATTTAATTCCTACCGTTTTTTCCCGAAAACCATTAAGGTTTTCTCCAAAACCGATCATAAAACTAAAAGTTTTTAATCGGAAACGCAAAAAAGCATTATTTTTGCAGGGAACTTTAAAAAACCCATTTCAGTTTCGAATTTGGCGGATTATTTCACTCATTCATAGCAACGCCATAGGGCAAAAAAGGTATTAATAAACGGTAATTCGATAATTTTCAAAAAAACTTACAGCGAACATGCAATCGTGAAAAATTATAAATAAATTTAATAATTAAATATTTTTGATTCGAATGCAAACGTGTTACAATAACAAGTTTAATATTTTAATAGTCTTCTAAGCGCGGGAACCTGCAAGAAATTCAAAAAGGAAAAGAAAAAAGCTGATCCGAGTGATGATAGTTACGAAGATGATGAGAGCAGTGTGATTCAAAGCGCAAAACCGAGCACTCGACTAAATGCAGCAATGAGATCAACCAGGGCTGGAACCAACAATCATTCTGTGATTTGCCGTCTCAAGCAAAACAACATTTTAGCATTAAAGAATAGCGTTAATGATGCCAATAATAATAAAACCTTAAAGGTAAGAATTGTTTCACGTTTTCACTTGCTACTATATTGCTTTCAATTATAATTGAGAACTTTGGCATAATTATACCCAGCCAGCACACTCACGGCAGATTAGGCAACTATCATGGCATATGAAGACGTAAATTCTTGTGCTACACTTGACAGACATTTTTAGTTGCGTTTTCAAGCTTAAAATGAAATTGTTGACAATGGAAAAATTAACTTTATTTATTTATTAATTTAGAATGTTTAAATATATGTATTTATTAATAAGAATAAACTTTCTAAGCTGGCAAATTTTTAAGCGGCCGGATGTTCGATTAAGAGGAGGCAAATTTAAATTTTCCTTTATTGACCGGAATACCGAATTTTAATAATTCTGAGAATTGGACGAGGTTTTTATGCAAACGATATTTTCTTCAAATTTACTCCACGTGATGTGTGTCACTTAAAAATGCTGACAATCTTAAGGCATTTTCCGCGAAAAATTATGAAATAAATGTCGAATCCTTTGTCGCTTTGTAAAAAGTTTTGAAATTCCTGCTTCGAATTTGAAACAAAAATAAATAATTTTCTATCAAAAAACGAACAGACTAAGCGAAAGTTTATAACAGATTATTTGGAAATCTCGTCACCTCCCTCTGACGACTGTAAAATTTGATGAATAATGTGTTTTTTTAGTTTTGACTTAATTTTTTTTGCTATACTTTCTACTCAAAAACCCTCTATTTTGTAGAGCGTTGTAGAGCTGCAGGGAACTTTTTGTGTTGGCCGGTTTTTCAGGTTGAAAGTTTATTCACTTCTGTGTCTCACATGTCTCACAAATATTTAAAGGTGTTAGCTTATCCAGTTCTACTGGTACTTTTTGAATGTCATGCTTTCTTCACAATTGTATTTCTTTCCAAAGGTACCATCACGAAAGCCGAATCTGACAACAATACGAATTCCGAATACTCGATTATCGTCCCCTGACCAAGAAAAATCGACCAAACTGCCGTCTCCATGCAAAACTTGCGGTAGACCGGACCAGCCAGAAAGGTTTCATAGTCATCCTGCTACACCTATGAAATCGAGTCCCAGAAATGGAAGAGGTACTGAACATTCGAAACCGGTAAAAATTCCTGGTAAGTTCACTTCGATTTTGGGTTTTTTGTTAATACTATTAATCAAGTGAAAAGTTTCAATATGGATTTTGAAATAGTATAACAATACCTTATGTTTGAATGTAGCTGTAAAATAGTAAAAAGCGGAAACAACGCGCCTGGAAAAATTATTAGTTATGAGGCCCAGCGTTTTCAGGAACAGTATATGGGCGCACTTTATTGATTATGCTTCATTAATAAATAAACTGAAAAGAATAACTTTTCCTGAAAAGCACATGAAAAGCATTTTATTCTAACTACACTTCAAAATTTTTCGCTCTTGTTTAGAGTTATGGATAAACGTGTAATTAGTGTACCTACGCTTTGTAGTGCAGTTATGTATATTTGGAAACTTTTTTGGAATTAAAATTAGAACTATTGAATTCGTTTGGACTAATTAGAGTGGCAAATGTCTAGTTTCTTCAATAAAACAATGTTTTTTTAATTGAATTTTGAAGAAAGATCTAGCGGTAATTCTGAAGGCCCGCTAAAAGTCTGCTTTGATTATGTGCTCAATGGAAATTGCTGAGAAAAACTGCATATTATTATTCCACGCCATTCTGTACGCCCGGCAATCATATAGAATGCATAATAAAACGTTTGTTTCAAATTCCTTCCTTGTTTTCAACCAAATTTTGGCCACCACCAGGTGCCTTAATGAATTTCTAATGTAATTATCTATATTAGAATATTGCTATAGTTCTATAGAATCTATAGATAAATAAATAATATTTATCTATATTTATATATGCAGCAACTTAATTATCTAAAATCAATTTTTTTTCTGTGGCAGATGAAATATTTTGTTTATATGTTGAATGAAAAAAGTATGTAAGTGCAAAATAATGTAGAATTTCACCGGACAAATATGATTTTTTTTACCTGGTGATGGTTTGAAAGCTGCATCTTAATTTTCAGTGAAATTTATAGAATTTCAAACAGTATTATCGAGAAACTGGCGAAGTTATTCGCGTTTTTAGGCCCTTCTGAAATATATTTTGTTCCTGACGTTTAACACCTGGTAACCAATGGCTGAAGATGCAAGCCACTCGTGATTGCAAAACGGCAGGAACAGATTCTATTTCTCACGAAAAACTCACCAGTTTCTAGGAATGGTCGCGTAAATTTATCTTTTGTTATGGTGTAATTAAAACTTTTCTGTTATTAGCAATTCACTAGTCGCTTTACTTATAATTAAAAAAAAAAGAGTGTATTTAACTGTAAAAAAAACTGCGGCTGACTATTATTTCAAAAATTTAAACGTTTACGTAAATCGATGTTCTCAGTCCTTTCCTCAAAGCAGGAACTACTTAGAGGTAGATATAAGAATAAATAAATTGTTCTCAAAACTTCTAATTTGGCAGTCGAGTGATACAAACACAATTCAATTTAAATCCTCATTAACTGGCCTTCTCATAGAAAGAAACGGTTATGGAATGTAAGTCGGGGTAACAGTGTGTTGAGTTGCGCTATTGAGTTGTTGCTGCTCTCTAAGTTAACGAGTTATAACTCATCGGTTAATGAGTTATAAATCATTTGCTAAAGCTTTACGAGACCCGAGATCGGAATTTTCACATCTAAAAAATGTTTTATGAGTAACGCTTTACTACTTTGTTCAAACAACTAAAAAGAAATAATCTAGATTTTCCCAGCAACAGAACTGATTCCAAAGAAAGTCGACGAGTTTTCTCGTAAAATCAATCTCTTATTTTTTTTGCATAAAAGTTGGGAAAAACGCGGTTTTTCTGTTTAGAGACAGTGTTGTTTAGAAATATTGACCTAAAAGTGAAGAAACTCCTCCAGTTTCCAAGGGTTTTCCGAATAAATGATTATGAACTTTACCTTTTTCAGTTCGGGAAAATATTTTTGGGAAAAGACCTAGAAATAATTATTAGGGTTTTGTCTATAATTCGAAGCAGCAAAAAGTTTGCCAAACATTTTTGCAAAGCCGTTAAAGAGGCGTGTTCCAATAAATATTATCTTCTAATTTTTCACAGAATATACCTGAAGTTTGCCAGTATTTTAAGTAAAACTAAAAAATAATACGATTTTTGCGGAGAAAGAATTGCTTAATAGAAACTTTGCTAAAACTGGAATGACCCGAAAATTTAAAGAAACTTCAGAAATTCTCAGAGCGATGAGGGCGGCGAATTTTCCCAATAGTTTTTGTAAACTTTTGATATCTGGTCGTTTTTTCAAAATAAACCCAATTACTTTCGGTAAAAAACTGAATAAAATCATTTGATTTTTGTGCCAAATTCGAAACTGAAATTGGTTTTCTAAAGTTAGCAAAATTAATTTTGTCATTTTTGGCTGACGATATCCCATTATAATAGGACAATATATTGTCAAATAAGAAGAAAATCATCAGAAAATAATGCGTTTTTGCGTTTTCGATTAAAAACTTTTAGTTTTGTGATCGGTTTTGGAGAAAACCTTAATGATTTTCGGGAAAAAACAGTAGGAGTTTATATTTTTTTTCAAATTCGACACTCAAAAAAGTTTTTGTAAAATTTTTACAAACCTATAAATTTAGCTTGTAATTTTTCGCGTAAAAGTCCTCCAGATCGTGAGTATTTTTAAGTGAAACTCTACACAATAGAGCATTTTTGAGTAGAAAGTAATGCGAAAAAAAAATCCAGTCAAAACTAAGAAACCACATTTTTTAACAAATTCTACAGTTTTCAAAGGAATGGAGGTGTGGAGATTTCCAAATAATCTGTTATAAACTTTAGCTTATTCTGTTCGTTTTTTTATATAAAATTGTTTGATGTTTGTTTCAAATCCGAGGCTGGAATGAGATTTCAAAACTTTTCACGACGAAGAATTCGAAATTTATTTCATAATTTATCGCGAAAAATACCTTAAGATTGTCATAATTTTTAAGTGAAACTAGAAAATTGAGCATTTAGAGGAAAGAGCAACTTGGCTAAAACAGGAGAATTCCGAAATTTGAAGTTTTAAAAATATTATTAATAAATGGCCTTTAAAATAAATCTAAAAAAGTAAACAAAAAGTCATCAACATTTTTCCAGCAACGGAACTGAGTTACTGCGCTGGTGCGTTGAAAATTCAATGAATTTCCCAGGCCTAATGAAAATGAAAACATTTTAATATACCTACGGCAATTATTTAATTTATTTTTATTTCAGAAAATAAATATTACGTTATTTGCCAAATACATCAGAAGCGCTAAGTACTATTGTATTATTAGGCATTCGTCATGATTAATTTGTAAGCGATATAGGTTGGACCGGTTTAATTGGCCACGATATGACGAATCAACTCAACATGATGTTTTGTGGTAATTTTCTAAATTAAGGTATCAAATAAAATGAACGATTGTTTAAACAGACTCTCTATTAGTATGTGAATTGAAACAAGCAGTTAATGCTGCTAAAAATATGTCGGGTAAGCTCTCAAATTTGCCTTTATTATATTTATTCTGAAGTCAAATAGACTTTTGAATTGACTTGAATAACAAACGAAAAATTAATGTAGGTTTATATTTTGCTTTGCACTGGATGCAATCGGCAAAATTGACAAAGACGCAATAACAATTGTCAACTTTTATAACAAAATTTACAAAAACATAGTAGAATTTACAAAAGAGTAAAACAAAAATTACAAAATTTTCGTATAATTTCGATATTAACTTACTAAAAACTGTCCTGAACATTTCGACACCTTTTGCGTTAATGCTGTAATAACGCAGTTGCCTGAATTTCGCATACTACGCATAGATTCTTGGATATTCTTTATCCATGGGCACAAACATCACGCGCCACTGACTTCTAGTGAACAAATTTTTGAATTTGTTGTTTTTTCGTATCTGACTTCGTTTTCAAGTTATTTGCACAAACTGTCCATGTAGGTATCAAAAGAGATAGACTTTCGAGGCCATTCCTCGAATCTAATGGGTTTTTCGGGTTTTTAGGCCGTCCGTTAGGTAGAATTTTTTCTTGACGTTTCGCAAGCACGAGTGGCTTGCATCTTCAGAACTGGTTTGCTTGAAGGCTTACACTGTTCTGATCATCAGAACTCGTGGTTGCGAAACGTCAAGAAAAAATTCTACCCAACGACGGCCTAAAAACCCGAAAAACCCATTAGTGTCCATGTAGGTTTTCTGGGTGATTTTCTATGAACTTTCTTATATTTTTTTTAGTCCTTTTGTTGGGAAAGCTTGAAGTGCAAGTTGAAAATGATTGCCTGTATAAAATGACCAAAGGACTACTCTCCGATACCTTGAAGCGTACCTAAGCTGAAAAGATACTCTTGTTAAAAGTAATGTTTTCCAAATCACTGGATTTTATCCTCTTGATGACTTAAGGCTTGGTCCTCCCGTTCTCCCGATTTAAATCCATTTCCATTTTTTTCACCGTTGTTGAGACAAGGAAAACGGTTCTAAAGAATGATGTTTCATACCGATTAATGGCGGTGCAACAATCCGCAATCGAGCTTACGCGAAAAAAAAAACGCGCTTAGCTGGAAACCCACTTATGAAGTTTTTAATTGAGCAATTAAATCATTAATTCTCAATTTCGAATCGTAGAGGTTGTAATTGTCGATGTGCACATACAAGAGTACCGGTTTTTCAGTTTATAGCTTCAATCTGCCTAAAAGTAGGTTTCGTGGGACTCATATATGGTGTTGATAAAAACATTAATGTGTAGAAGCTGGCCGGTCCAACATTATTTCTTGGTCTCGATACGCCTTAAGAACGATCATTTTTTGTTACAGTGAAAAGCATCGTACAAAAGCCCATAGCCATCAAATACAAATCAAAAACTGGCAATGTCATCGCTGATAACCGAAAAGCTACATCACCAGTGAAAACATCAGCACATTTATCCCACGTGCCTCCAAACCCTGCAGCTCAAGTCTCCAAGTTACCTTCTCCAGCCAATAGAGCTGCGGTGGTTTCAAAATTAATAGCACTGTCCCCCAACTCTGACAAAACTGCTGAAATGCAAAGGAAGAGCGTTACTCCTTCGAGAGGAGGGTCGGGAAAGAGGACCTTGACGTGCTACATATGCGGAAGAGAGTTTGGGACTGCTTCTCTAGCATTGCATGAGCCTAAATGCCTACAGGTACGAAAATTCATTAATAATAACAATTCGCAATTGAATTAATGAAGAAGCTTTTGTGTGAACCCCAAATGTCGAGTATGCTTTATAAGGGAGATATACAGGGTATTCCGTAAATTTGTTAAAATATTTGTGTTCTCCTAGTCATTCTAGAGCGGGGTCTTGCTGAAAATTTTTTTAAATTTGAGGTTTCCTTGTTTAGATATTTGATTTCCAAAATGGCGGAAAATATTAGTTTTTGCTGTTTTCCTTTAAAACGGTTAAACATAGAAACTTTAATTTTGGTATACATTATAAGCTAATTGAGTGCCATTTTATGTGTGGTTCGTGTTTCGTGGTTCAGTTTGCTTTTATACAAGGTAGAAATGTGGAACCCCTACTTTTGTTTTGTTCAGAACTTTTTTGCGTGCACTTAAACTTTTCTCGGCATAATTTATAAGTAATTAACTTAATTACTACAAGTTTTTGCCAACTTTTCTCTCTTATTGTTTGTCCGCAAAAAATAAAATTGTTTTCTTTGTCGTTCTCAAAATGTGTAAGTAATTAAGTTATTTTTTAAAATTAATTTCGTATAATAATTTTGGTACGCATTATTAGTTGATTACTAACAACCTAAATTATTTTTCTAAATTGTGTATTTTGGTTCAGATTACAATTATTAAGTTTGAATAAATTGTACTTAAATAATAACATGGTAACAATATGCGCAACCATATAAAGAAACAAAATTAACTTAGCAGCTGTTAAAATTGGTCACTTTGACATTCTTGGCATAATCGCAGTATTTTAATGAATTTTAAATTTACAGATCGTAAAGTTTGCACTGAAGTTCTTATTTTGTTAGAAATATTAAATATTCTTTTCTGAAGTTCTTCAATTGTATTTACTTCTGTTGAATATTTTTTAAATGGCCCCAGAAGTAAAAATCAAGCGCGTTTAGATCGGGACATTTAGGAGGCGAGTTTATAGGATCTTCTTGACCTCTCCCAATCCAACGGCTTGGAAAGTTTTGATCAAGCCGAAACTATTTATTTTTTTGCTGTCAAACTAGTGGTCTTAGGAAAAAACAATAAGAGATTAAAAAGTTGATAAATAACTTATACTAATTAAAAAAATTATGATAATAAAAGTTTAGGTGCACACAAAAAAGTCCTGAACAAAACTAAAGTAAGGCTTCCACATTTCTACCCTGTATAAAAGTAAACTACACAACACTACCATAGAATGCCTCAATTAGCTTATAAGCTATTTTGGAGATCAAATATCTCAAAAATGAGACCTCAAATTAAAAAAAAATTCAAGAAGACCCCACTCTAAAATGACTAGAACACGCTGTTAAAATATTTTAACATACATTTAGGAATGTTTTCCGGGCTTTGAAGCCGTGGTCTATGGGAATTTCTTCCTGACGTTTCGTCCACAACTGCAGTGGACATCATCAAAGGCGATGAGGCAGTGGGCGAAGTGATTTCCCGTGGTTGCCGACTAAGACTGGTTTCCCCGTCGTATTTATGCAGCCTAGCCGTGTGTGCTCATGCGTGGGGGATGGGTGGGGGTTCCAATACTTTGGCGCACATGCTGTTTGGCGCAAAACGCGCTTCCAATCTGGATTGAGTGCCGTAATTTCATATTTTCTGTTAAAATGGGGTTGAAAATGTGTGTTTGGTGTTTAAATATTTCGATGGCCTCTCTGGTGAGTCTCGGGTAGTATCTTTCAGATTGGTGCAGAATGTCCACTTCGTCGAAGCGTATTTGGTGGCCGTCTAGCAGTGCGTGCTCCGCTACTGCGGATTTTTCTGTTTGTCCCAATCTGCAACTTCGTTTGTGCTCCGTAATCCTAGTGTTTATGCTTCGTTTTGTGGTGCCGATGTATGCTCTTCCACAGCTGCACGGAACTCTGTAGACTCCTGGTGCTGATAAAGGATCCCGTTTGTCCGTGGCCGATCTCAAAGTCTGTTGGATGGTTCGAGTTGGTTTAAAAATGGTTTTTACTTGGTGTTTCTCCAGTATCTTGCCGATCCTGTCCGTGACTC